AAATATGAAACACTTTGACATTTTTCGTAGTGGTTAATATGAAATATTAATATGACAATTTACGTGAGGTAGTTTGTAGTGTGTAAAAAATTGGAAACGAATTTTCATAATATTAATATTTTATATTAACCACTACTAAAAATGTGAAAGTGTTTCATATATATGTGGTATATATAATTACATTAGTTCGACAGATCTGTGACTTAATAGTTCGGTGTGTCATTGCTGTTGTTTTCTCTCGTAGCTTACGTCAGAGCATTGGTGCGTAACGCCAAAGGTCCCGGGACCGATTCCCGGCGAGTGTGTGGCAACAGCAATAAATTTTCCCTCATTAACCTAAGGTAGTTTGTAGTGTGTAAAAAATTGGACATTAATTTTCATATTAACTTTCCAAATAATTGGAAGAGACATTGTCAGCCGGTCGTGATGCTGGAGAGATTATACTGTATTTTCTTTATTGACTTGGTTCCAGATAGATTTAATATCCGAGTTAATTGATTTTTCCAGTTAGGCAGTTTTTCCATTATAAATTGCACGTACCTGTGTTTTATAATTTGCTCCTAATCGCGAAAAATCAATTTAGTCGGCCGAAAGGCCAGTAATTTTATACTAAAAATGAACTGGCTATTTTAGACGATTTGAACGTTTCATTATTGCATTGACTTCAAGAACACGTTTAGAAATATGCTTTTGAAATATATTATGATTGCTAGAATAATAGCAATTGCTTCATCAACAGAAAGGGATAGTAATGCTGACCAATTCGCATTTCTCACTTCAGTATAATATAATTCTAATTTAGTGCACTTAAAATCAAAGATCGAAGTTAAAAAACGCGACTATTACAATTAGTTCTGGATGACGAGATAAACAAACGGTTCTTCATGTTTTTAAACTGAGAATTCCATTTTTTGATGAAGAATATAAGTCTACTTCATTAAATTCGTTTAATACATTGTCGATCTGATACAAATCATTTGGACAATTCCCAATTGATAATACAACCGTTCCCCTCAATGTTTTTGAACAGTTATAATCACCCTATCAAAGCAAGGCCATTACAATTCGATTTAATTAAAAGCGAATATCCGAACAAATAAATATTCTGTTGTAGTTCCTTCTTGATGTTTATGTAGTGTCTAATTTGCCTAAATATTGCCATCTTCAGGTAGACCAAATATTGCCATGGCAATATTTGGCATATTCATTTTTCCTTGCAATAATTTAATTTATAATAACTAATATATGTAGGAAACAAATAATTCATATAATTATCATATGTTATTATTTACAGAGGCAAAAAAATATGCGAACTACCCGTACCTAAAGATGGCAATATTAGGCAATATGTAAAAACCTTATGCAAAACAGAAAGGCAAATTGATATGAGGTTGTGTTCGGTATGTAACAGACATGTTCATGAAGAATGTGTCGGTCTGACTAAGACGGATAAAAAAATTTTTACTTGTCCGGATTCTTATGTTATTATTTACAGAGGCAAAAAAATATGCGAACTACCCGTACCTAAAGATGGCAATATTAGGCAATATGTAAAAATCTTATGCAAAACAGAGAGGCAAATTGATATGAGATTGTGTTCGGTGTAACAGATATCTTCATGAAGAACGTGTCTGTCTGACTAAGACGGATAAAGAAATTTTTACTTGTCCGGATTGTTAGACTTAATTTTTTTAAAAGAATGTTATTTGTTATTTTGTTTTTCATAACAATGTTTCTTTTTATTTTATATATTTGTAGCATTTAAAATACGATTAAGTGTAAATATACATAAACTTTTATTCGTTATTTTGCTTATTTCTGTGTTTTTAGTGGTGTTCCGAATACTACCACTACATGGCAAAACTTGGGATACATGTTCCAAATATTGTCATTTTGCAATGTTTTTAAAAAAAGCTAAAATAAAAAAAATAATTTAAATTATAAATATATGGTATACCCTCCATTCTAGAGAAGAACTGTAGAATGGTTCTTGTAACGTACCAGGTTGATCTAGTTGAAAATTTTGAAATAAAAAATAAAAATTCCTTAGGGTGGCAATAATTGGCTTATGTACCTTATTTAAGTTACTTCATAAAGATGATTATCATTATCGTAGCTCCTTACGTGGAAAATATCCATAGAACGAGCCCATTTCCGATGGTAGAGAGGAAGAAATATACAACGTACAATAATCCCAGGAGAAAGTGTAATGAAGGTTCCGGTTCGGGGTACTTGAGCCAGTGCTCAGGGATGTGACTTAATTCGGACGTTGGAATATTCCATCCCATCAAGCGCTGTTCTCCATCGCCGAGAACCCTTGATATATTTAAAAATAACGGCATATTATTATTAAATAAATTAACGTAATACGTTTTAAAAATAAACTTTAAATAAGGAAGAGAGAGCCACGAGATCCTTTCTGAAATAATAAGATTTAAAAATTATTTCACCATTTTAAATGAGGTTTATGAAGTTCATTAATTAGAGTTATAATCGAGCTATTGAAAGGATGAACTTGCCATTTTTAATTGGCATAAAAATGGGACCAAAAATAGCAAAAGATAATCGGATAATTTCGTGCAAAAATACGTAGACCCAACAATTGCAAGGACTGAAAGGAACTATCCTAAAGAAAGAGGTATTGTATAAGATAATTCGAAGTGGTCTATATTCTGTCGAAACTGCCAGACGCGGATCGTGATTTCGATCTTTTTGGATCTCATCAGCGCGTCGCAGGCAGCTCCGACAGAACACAGACCAACTTTTACCTGCTGTCTTAACAG